ATACATTTTGTATGGCTCTATTCGCACCGCACCCGCACAAAAAATGTGCAGGGCCCTTTTTTGAGTCCGCACTAGTATCGGATCACATGGGTATTCACACCTATGCAATCTGATTCTGCACATCGCACCGCATTTTGCAGACTGCTTTCGGAGTGTTGTTAACTTAACTTAAACCCGCAGTGGTTTGCAAGAACGGTGTGCGATTCTGATGCGGGGCGGAATTTTCACTGTAAACACTGCGAATTCCGCACCGCATCAGTGTGAACCAGGGCTTTAGCGTCACTTTTCCAGGGAGAATATGTTGTGCAATGGTTTCTCATAACTGAGGTCCTCCAGGTGAGAATGTAACCTAAATGGTTACATTGAAGTCTAAAAAAGAATTGATTGCACAGAAGTGGATAGATTCCTCCTCTTATTAGCTTTGTTGCCTTTTCTGGACTCCATCCAGTTCTGTGCAATAATTTTTTGAGTTTTCAATGTAAACCCTTTAGGTTACATTCACACCTATAGGAAGGACATTATTCAACTTTGGTCAAAGCTGCACAGTTTGTTATCTACAGAGACCCCTTACCTACATAGGCAGTTTTTCAATAAAGGTGAGCTAACCCTTTAAAGTGGAACTAAACCCTTCTATCCTTTTCAGCCAAGGAAGCTGCCATCTTGGCCTCTGTTTGATCTGCAACTGCCATGATGCTGCACATGTAATCAGTTATGACACAGCTATTTGATGATTTGACAGTTTGATTGAGAACACAAGCAATGTGAAAGTTACATTCCTGGCATGAGCCTCGTATGTAACTGTTTTTTGAAACTGTTAAATTGATGGGTTTATTTCCACTTTAAATTTGAATTCCAGGAATGGATTTGATTACATAGTTACGGTGGACCAGCTTGGACTAATCTAAGTATACATACAGGACCACTGTGAAACTGGAGAATCCACTTATATTGGTCCTAGCTGGGCCAGTGTAACTGTCCACTTGATGCCAAATCATGTACAATATTTGATGTTAAGTGGTTGTACCAGTTGCAGTTGCGGGCATCATCCAAGTACCAATTTTCAGAGACAGTGATCAGCTCTCTTGCAATAGCAATCCAAGCAGCCAACTAGATGCTGGATCGCTATTGCAAGCAGCAGTAGGAGTCGTCCCCCCTCTCCTGCCGCTTTCTGTGGCTTTAATGGGCTGTCCCACCAGGATACCTGATTGACCAACCGGCACATCCACCAGCTGCTCATAGTTCCCTATGATATAGGGAACTGGAAGCGATGACTTACATCAATTCCGACTTACCCGGATATAGACCGCACCATTTTTAAAAATGAAAAGCATTTGATAAAACGATCTTGGTGTATTTGAATGCTTTTAAGGGCAGAGGAGGGATTTGGGGTCTTATTAACTCTAGATCTCTTCATAAAGAGTACCTGTCTCATGCCTATTGCTGTCACAGAGGATGTTTACATTCCCTAACAATAAAAGGGTTTTTTTGCTTTCCTCTGGATCAACTGTGGGTATAGGATTATAACTTTTTTTTTTTTTCTATGGTTGAACTGGATGGACATTTGTCTTTTTTCAGCCAGACTAACTATGTAACTATGAAAAAAACGTTAAAGTGGCAGTGTACAATAAATTAATAAATGAATGAGAAAAAACCCAGGACCCTGCATTCACTATATCTGGTCTCCCACAGTACACACAACATGGAAATGCAATTATTTTAGTAAATATAAACTGCTGAATACCTTTTCTCATCAGCAGTTAGAGCAGTCTTATGACTTCTGTCAGTGTTCAGCAGAGCACTGGTTAAAGCTGGTAGGAGGAGTTTTCTTTCTGCTCTAGATGGATGTGAAACCCCTGACCCTCTGTCTGGACAGTGCTGATTGGCCCTGTGCTGATCACATACACTCTCTCAAGAAAAAAAAACACCTCTCTAACAATACACACTAAACTGAGCATGAGCATGTGACTACGGATTCAGTCTGTATCAGGTGGTCATTTCAAAAAGAGGAGGGGCAGAGAAGAAATCAGTCTTTTTACACAATGCAGAGGATTAAACCACACCCCTCTATAGCAATACACACTAACATGAGCATGAGCATGTGACTACGGATTCAGTCTGTATCAGGTGTGATCATTTCAAAAAGAGGAGGGGCAGAGAAGAAAGGATCAGTCTTTTTACACAATGCAGAGGATTAACCCCTTAGGTTCCATAGTGAGTATAACAAGCTTACTTTACTGCATATACAGACTGATTTTACTGTTGTGGGTTTAGGAACACTAACTGTAAATGCGGTAGTATATACAGTTCCCCAGGGGCGGACTGACAACTCATGGGGCCCCCGGGCAATAGGGGATCATGGGGCCCCTGTGTTCTTGCCCAAACTCAAAATAGCCTATGAAAACGGTACCAGGGGCATCTCATGGGGCCCCTTACTGACCCTGGGCCCTCGGGCAGCGCCCAAGTTTCCAAATGGTCAGTCCGCCTCTGCAGTTCCCATTCACTTATGAACATTTATCAACAAGTCTCCCCCAGGTGTGGGTACTCTGTGTCAGATTCCTCTCATGGTTGTTTTGCTTAGTGCTTTATTTTGAGCACATATTTTGCATGCAGGTAAAACTTCCTGCACTGGTTAGAAAAGAAGCAATGAAAGTATAGGCGATGCTTTAAAAGTCTTTACAGGTCACCACATTAACCACTTGCCCTCCTGAGGATTTACCCCCCTTAATGACCAGACCTCTTTTTGCTACTTGGCGCTGCACTAATTCAACTGATAATTGCGCGGTCATGCAATGCTGTACCCAAACTAAATTTACGTCCTTTTTTCACACAAATAGAGCTTTCTTTTGGTGGCATTTGATCACCTGTGTGCTTTTAATTTTTCACGCTATAAACAAAAAAAGACAATTTTGAAGAAAAACAATATTTTTTACTTTCAGCTATAAAAAATATATAGTAAACTCAAAGTTGGTTATAAATTTAGGCCAAAATGTATTCTGCTACATGTTTTTGGTAAAAAAAATCCCAATAAGTGTATATTGATTGCTTTGTGTGGAAGTTATAGCGTCTACAAACTATGGTATAGATACTGCAATTTACGCCACTTTTTTGCTATACAGCGCTGCGCTAGTTTAATGAACAATTGCGCGGTCATGCAATACGGTACATAAATGAAATTTATGTCCTTTTTTCACACAAATAGAGCTTTCTTTCGGTGGTATTTGATCGCCTGTGCGGTTTTTTATTTTTTTGCGCTATAAAAAAAAAAAGACTGACAATTTTGAGAAAATAAAACAATATTTTGGACTTTTTGCTATAAAAGATGTCCAGTAAAAAAAATTTAAAAATCAAATTTCATCATAAATTTCAGCCAAAACGCATTCTGCGACATGTCTTTGCAAAAAAAAAAACCCAATACGTGTAAATTAATTGGTTTATGTGAAAATTATAGCGTTTACAAATGGCGGGAAAGATACTCAGATTTTTTATTTTTTTTTATACTAATAATATCGGCGATCAGCGACTTATGGTGGCGATCAGTGACTTATGGCGGAGATCAGCGACTTATGGCGGGACTGTGGCGGACATTCTGACACTGGGAGGAACTGACTTGGGGTCACTGACATCCCCAGTGACACCAATACAGTGATCAGTGCAAAAAAAAAACACTGACACAGTACTAATGGCACTGGGGAGGAAGGCGTTAACTTTTTTTATTCACTGAAAGGGTTAACTGTGTGAGGGGAGTGTTTCACTAGGGGGCGGAGGTGTGCACTGCACGGGACATGCTGATCGGCAGAGATAAACTCTTTTCTCCCGATCAGCGTGTCAGGAGCTGTCAGGGAACTGACAGAAAGCAGAGCTACTGCAGCCCTGCTCTCTGTCAGTGATTGCCGCTAGTCGGCGGGACACAGCCGGTAATGACCGGCCGTGACCCGACGACTAACACCCGCGGTGCAGGTAGAGCGGTGGCGCGCCTCGTGTGGGCCCCCTACCTGTTTTGCAAAAGTGCATTTTAAAACGTGCTTTTGTCCAGCCGTGCCGCCCTACCGCCGTATTTCTACAGTGGCTGGGCGGCAAGTGGTTAAAGTGTTACTAAACCCACAACAGTAAAATCAGTCTGTATATGCAGTAAAGCATGCTTGTTATACTCACTGTGGAATCTAAGGGTTAATCCTCCACATTGTGTAAAAAGGCTGTTTGATCCTGTCTTCTCTGATTCTCCCCTTCTTCCAGTGTTCCCCTCTTATCTCCTGATAAGACATATTGTGTGGAGTCACTCCGCACACACTCAGTTTTTTGTGCATTGCTAGAGAGGTTTTCTTTTTCTTGGGAGAATGCATTTGATCAGCAGAGGGTCAATCAGCACTGTCCAGATAGAGATCAGAGGTTCTGCATTCCCCTAGAGCAGAATGAAAACTCCTCCTACAAGCTTTAACCAGTGCTTGGCCAGGCACTGATAGAAGTCACAAGACTGCTGATAAGAAAAGGTATTTAACAGTTTATATTTACTAAAATAATTGCATTTCCATGTGTGTACTGTGGGAGACCAGATATAGTGAATGCAGGGTCCTGGGTTTAATAACACTTTAAGGTTGCCTACCTGCCATAAACATTTTCCCGAATTCATCTTCCAGTGCACTGTAACTGTAAGAAAGGTTGTGCAACACTGCTGTAGCTGCAAAAAGCTGCTTATGTCCAGAAGGACAGAAACAGCCATGACAACAGTTGAGGCTCAGGCCCACAATGACTTGGTTTTCTATATAGCCTCGTATGCCTGTAGTCAAGCATCTGCCTCATCAGTGAAGTCAAGCATGACCTGGCTGTACACACACGCCCCCTAGTGGGCAGTCACGCCCCCCTCAGTGTACGTTCACTCCTCCCCTCCCTCCTTTCTTCCTGTTGTTGTGAGCCATGTGACCGCCTAGATCAGCTGACCAGTGTAGTTCTACTTCCTCTTCGGGCAGTGTGCATGTTGCGCCGTGCGAGTTATGAACTAGAAGATGGGGGCTTCGAGTGTGTGGAGGAGGATGAGTTCTCTGGGCACATGGCTGTGTCTGGTCATCTCGGCTTCCCTGTGCTTATGGGTTGTGGAGGGGACATCCCGGAGACCGAACATAGTACTTATCCTAACAGATGACCAGGACGTCTCCATGGGCGGTATGGTAAGTAGTTCTTGTCATGGGGGGTAGGGCTGTGTCTATAGAATGTGCCTTCTCACTTTGTCCTGGGCTCTATTGTATGTGTGCCCCCCCCCACTCCCCTCTCCAGTAAAAACAACTTGTAGGTGCCATTTATTTCTTCTGCCTACCAAACCCATATTTAGGGCTCGCTGGTTCAAATCCAACGATTGTAACGCCATGCGTTTTTAAGCGTCGCCCTTGATTGGGTACTTTGGGGCTAGGTGCAATCCAGACACGCTGGCCTGTTGCTTTTGCAGGAGTGTGTTGGAGCCATTAAATCGGTAGTAACCTAGGGTCACACCTAAGCGTTTTGCAGTCCATTTAACATGATTTCCTATGTTCACATCGGTGTTTTTTTTTGGAAAGGGTCAGTGACTTTTTTGAATGTAAAAAGTTGTGTTTTTGGTTCAATAGAGAACAATGGAAACGCTGCAGAAAAGCATGTATTGCGTTTTTGATGCGTTTTAAATCTGCCTAGCAACAAGAAAAATAGGGGAAAAAAATGCAGGTGCAAAACAAAATGCAGAAACGGGTCAAACGCAACCTGCATAGCTGTGAACCTAGGAAAGGGTCAGCCACACACTGGAGGATTGATGAATATAGTGTGTATTTATTGATCCACAGGACGCACAAAACACCAGGACATGAATACAGGACCTGTTAATGCGGTTCACACGATCTTGTGCTTAATCATAACATCATTGTTTTGTGTGTCCTATGGATCAATAAATATACACTAGACATCTATCCTCTGCGGCTGACCCTTCTTCCTATTGCATCGTGTGGTGGTGAGCTGGAGCCTGCACCTGTTGTGGATTGATCTGGGTTGTTTGCCTCTGTTCTTTAGGTGTGAACCTATTAGAAGGTTTACTTGTAGTATTTTTATACAGGATTTATATAGCGCCAACAGTTTGCCCAGCGCTTTACAATATGAAAAGAGACAATACAGCAATCATACAGCTCAATACAAGAGGGATAGGTACAGCACATATCTTCTAAAATGTGTGCCTTTTAGGAGATATTTAATCAGTAGTAGTCAGCGACATCACTGGCGCAAAATCTATTTCAGGTACTTATATCGCACCACCTCCTGCTCTCTAGCTCCCTTGTCTCCTCCTCCCATGCTCGTCCCCAGGACTTCTCCAGATCTTCCACCCATCCTCTGGAACTCTCTACCCCAATTTATCAGACTATCACCTACTATGCTCACTTTTAGGCGATTTCTGAAAACCTATCTCTTCAAGGAAGCCTATCCTGCCCTCAGCTAATAATGGAATCTTCTATCTATCCTACCAGTCCATCCCCCATAGTCACTACCCTTTGTACCACTAGCCCCTCCCTCTTAGATTGTAAACTCCAAGGAGCAGGGCCCTCCTAACCCTCTTTTATTGAACTGTATTGTTGCTGTATTGTCTCCCTTTATATTGTAAAGCGCTGAGCAAACTGTTGGCGCTATATAAATCCTGTATAATAATATAGCGTTATCAATTTAAGCAGCACTTTACTTTATATATTGTACATTCACATCAGTCCCTAACCCTCAAGGAAGATGTGTGCAATCTAAGGTACCTATCTCACACTCATTTATACATACTAGGGCCAATTTAGACCGAAGCCAATTAACCTACCAGCATGTCTTTGGGGGTATGGGAGGAAATCGGAGTATCTAGAGGAAACCCACGCAGGCACAGGGAGAACATGCAAACTCCAGACAGCTGTTGCCGTGTGACTGGTATTCCAAATAACGACCCTATTACTGCCAGGCAGAAGTGCTAACCACTTGGCCACTGTGCTGCTCTCCAATGGACGGTGCTGTCCATTCAGAGCTCTGCACCGTACCCATGACTCTCCTGTGTATCTGTGGGAGTGACATCATTGCAGCTCTGCCATTCAAACAGCCAAAGCCTGTGAGCTCAAAAGGAAAACCAGGTGGCGATGGAAGCCCCGGCAGTGGTGATAGCGTACCACTGGAGGGGTTTGTTTTAAGTTAGGCTGGGCATACATTATACAATTTTCTTGTTCAATTTCATTTAGGTTTACCTTCAGCTATGTAGCTCCAGGGCCTACCTGATTCCATGCAAAATTGGAAGTATTTAGGTTGACGACCTATTATATGGGCTTGATAAATCTAAAGGAAAATTGTATAAGCTATGGCCAGCCTAAGTCTGTTACAGTGTGCTAGTATGCAGTGCATACTAGTACAGTATGGGGGTTATTTAATGAACCTGCTTGGTGCAGCTATGCAAAGAAACCAATCAGCTTCCAGGTTTTATTGTCAAAGCTTAATTGAAGAAGCCGAAGTTAGAAGCTGATTGGCTGCCATGCACAGCTGCACCAGATTCTGAGCGCACCGGTTTTAGTAAATCTCATCCTATGACATTATCCTGCAGGAGCCCATTTTTTTTTTTTTTTTTTTTTTTTTTTTACCACTTTAAATCCTAATGGCAGCTCAGCATATCTTGCTAATGTGCGCATAAAATTGCATGCCATAATGCATGCTCACAAAGCACCCTACGTGTTGGTTCAGCACATTAGAAAAAAAAAAAGGTTCAGGCTGACAAGACTAAGCTACTAATTTGCCATTGGCAGTGTGCAACAGGAAGTGCAATTACTGGCAGGATCTTCAGGTAAGTAACTGTGCAGTTTGGACCAGATTCTTAAAAAAACATTTGATTGAAGAGAAAATAAACCCTCCTATCCTTTACAGCCAAGGAAGCTACCATCTGTTTGTTCTGCAGTTTCATGGTGCTGCACATGTGATCAGTTATGACACCAGCCATTTGTTGGACTAACCGTTCAGTTGAGAGCACAAGCAACTGTGAAAGTTGGTATTCGTGGCATGCCTTAAATGTAACTGTTTTGGGTTTAGTTCTGCATTAAAGACCTCATCTTATTTCTGTTTTCAGTATCGTTTTCTGTGTCTGAGGGGATAAAGTACATGTAGTACTTTGCATCATCTTTTAAGTGCTGTGGAAGGCTAGCTATGTGGTTGGACAAAATGCCCTTCCCCCCCCCCACCCCATCACAGCTGTCAGGCAATGTAGCTAGGATTGCATTGATAGCTGGCCCTTATCTCTGGCTCCAAGCAATTTCCTGAGTAAGGTGCTGATGAATGCAGATTAAGGGGGGATGTGAAACTCTTTTGGCACCCTCCTGTAATTATGTTTAATATATGTAAATATTAAACTGTTGGTTCCTAATTCGGCTTAAAACAAGATTTGGACTCCTAACCCAGAGGAGAGGGACAGCCTGACAGGAGCACAGTGAGGCTTCATGTACAAGAGCAGCTCCTAAACTCGAGTTTAGGGCATTTTTTTTTGCCAAAGCTCCTAAACTCAACTCCATAAAAGCCTGTGTCCATGTACACTTGGCTTTTAGCAGAGTTTAGAAGCTGCCGCGTTTAGGTGAGGTTAAACCTCTCTCTCCTGAATGCGGAAGGATTGCATTCAGGATAGGAATGTTTTGACTGCAGGAAACCGCAAAATGCGGCAAAAACACGGTACCACGATGTGCGTTTTTCCATGGCCAGCGGTCAGGGTAGGCTCGTGTACATGAAGGTGAGTAAGGTAAGGCCTCATGCACACTGGAAGTTTTTGCAGCTGCTTCTAGGGGCGTCAGGTTCCCCCCGCCTTTAAACTCCGCTGCATGTTAGCCGGAGTGTCCATGCACACACAGATTTATAGCAGCGTTTAGTAGCAGGGGATTTTAGGGGGAAAAAAACCCCAGTGCATCCAGGATCATCAGGGAGGGGGGGCGACAATAACGTCAGGAGAGGGCGGTTGGACAAAAGGTGTGTGGGGGGGGGAGGAATTTTGCAGGAAAAACTCTTGGCGCTTGTAAAGGTGCCTTAACGCATGTTAACACTAGTCATGTTTAGCGCTCATTCATTTCAATGACCAGAATAATTTATTCTGGCCAATGAGATTAAACTGCCCAAGCGTTTGATGCCTGTAAATGCGCCTAATAACACATTTTAAGCTTCAGGTGTTTATTCTTCCAGGGTTCAAGGCTGTCACTGTTTGGAAGCAATGGGTGGCAGTGCTCCCGCCCGAATGCTTCCTGCAGCAGGGCTAAAGGTTAAAAAAAAAAAAAAAAAAAACTACCTGCCTGGTGCCCAAAACTATATGTCCCAGGCCTCGGGCGATATAAATTCAACATCCCTGCTAATGTAAGATGATTTTATATCAGCACACAGAACAGCATGCTGCTGACCACATGAGCACTGGAGCGCAAAAACATGCTTGTGCATTTATTTCATTGGCCAGAATATTAATTTATTCTGGCAGTTGAAATGGAACAACACTCAATTGCTAAACACATTCAGAGGGTTTGGTGTGTCGGGCTGTGGACATTTTCCCTAGTTGGTCTCCTCCTGCCCGCATCACAGCCACTTAGTGGCAATTGCTCTGCCAGCTAGGAGGCTTGGCTGCCTATAATGACATGGGCTCACTATGCTAGTATATAGTAGGGATTTTTTTTTTCACTGTTTGTGAAAACCATTACCATTAGTAATAATTCTAACACTTCCTGTCCAGTCCCAGAAATGCAACAAGAAGATGAAATCTCCCAAAGTGAGGGGCATCCACTTTTTTGATTGTTGTCCCCAGAACAGGTATCCCCTCTGGAAATGAGCCAAGAGCTTGCCATTTTTTTTTTTTTTTTTTTTTTTCCTGCTATTGAGTAAATGTAATCAAATTTACCCACCTATTGTGTAAATGTTGTGGTCTATAAACACTTAAAGTGGTTATAAAGGCTCATGGTATTTCTGTGTGCAGCAGTCCCCCCAGCCCCCCTAATACTTTACCTGAGCCCATCTCAATCCAGCGATGTCCACGAGAACCTTGTCTGTCCCGGGTCTCTGTCTCCTTATTGGCTGAGACAGCAGTGGAGCCATTGGCTCCCGCTGCTGTTAGTCACATCTAGTGAGCCAATGAGGAGACGGATGGGGTGGGTCCAAGCCACGGCTCTTTTTGTGAATGGGCACACGCAGCAGCAGCTTGGGAGTGTCCATGCTCGGGTGCCCCCATAGCAAGCTGCTAGGTAAAAACCATAAAAAACTACTGAAGAAAAGAAAGTAAAACAAATACGTATCAGCATGCAGAGCTACATGCTCATGTGATTTTTGTTTTTTTTGTTTTTTTTTTTTTTTCTTTTCTAGTGAAGGGGGAAATGTTCCTCTAGCAACTTTGCTGGCATTAATGGACAAATAACAGATGGGCAGAAATACTTATCTGAAACCCTAGGCACTCAAAGTGCCTAGCCTTCATTGGAAGAAAAAAAATCTTTTGTAGGTTCTCTTCAGTATTTGAAGTATTTCAACCTTTTTGTTACCCATTATTTGTCCATCCTGGGACTGCTAACATAGCTTTTAGGAAAGGCCTTACAGTATGCATCACATCAAAGCATTGAAGCAATACAGACATTTTTACTTCTCCATTTCTCTCTCTTATTAAGAAGAGTCAGACTTGCAGAGCAGGTTTGAATCTGATCTGTGGCTGTGAGGAACTGCGTACTTACATTTTGATAAATTCGAATTTTTGTATGTGACAGGTAGCAAGGAATATACCGAATGCCATCTAGAATGGGGAAAAATGGCTTTAGCTGCTCCCTTTTTAGGCTTAGTTTTCCATGTTGACTGGTGTGAATCATTTGAATGTTTCATGCATGGAAGTGGAAAAAGTTCTAACAGTGCAACATTTGTAACGTTTTATAATATGTGGGCTAATACTTTAATGGTGGTTGAAAAATGATTACTTATTGCTCAATTATAAATAATATACTTTTTTGTAGACTCCGTTGAAAAAGACAAAAGAATTGCTTGGCGATAAAGGTGTTACTTTTACCAATGCGGTAAGTGTTTCATTTGTGTTCACATAAAATGTAAAGCTATCTGACATGTTCTAGAATATACATTAGCAGGCTGAATGCAGAAATGACAATCCATAATGAGCTGGTAACTCTAGTCATGATTGTATCGCACCTGGCAGCTTTGGAAATAGATCTTTTTAAGCTCATGTTTTTATATTGTATAATGAGGCCTAAGTGTAGAGTAAGGCTCACACTGCCGTGACTTGGGATCTGACTTGTCTCATGATATGTGAAATCCCATGTTAGTCAATGAGAGCTGTCTTAATTGACACTACTGAAGTCTCTCTGACTTTAGAAAAGGTTCCTGTACTACTTCTATCCGACTTGTGCCCATAGACTTTAATGGAAGTTGCATCCAAGTCAGGTCCTCATATTGATGTTGTTTGGATCTGACATTACAGGAAGCTTACCCAGGCATTCCCTGAAAGTTGCTTCAAAGTAGTACTCAAGTTGCCTGGCAAAGTTGCACTGTAAGTCACGTGACTTTCAGGTCGCAGTAGTGTGAACCGAGACTTAAACGTCTTGTAGCAGAACAGAACTTTAACTTTACCACAATTAAGGGAGATAAATGTTCTATTCTGTTGGAAGCCAGTTACCTGTCCAGCTGTATTGGGCCAATTATGTCACCATGAGCCAGTTTAGTCTCACTGTTTTGTATGTAATTAATTTCCGGATTAGATCTTCTCACTTTTAATAAAGGACCTCTCGTGCTTTGTAGACATCTACATGGTTAGGAAAACGGTCCACATGCTGCCAGACAGGTTTTTTTTATGGTCTGCATTAATAATATGTGTGCAATTTAAAACTAACTTGAACTAGTTTGGGAAATAACTGGATGCAGTCACTGTGCAGTGAATGGTGTGCAAGGTGCAGACAATTGCTGTGTGTATGTACATGCCAGGTGGTGCCAACATAAGCTGTTTTTTCAGGTTTTGCCTCATTAACCACATAGAATGCTGTAATACATGTGGGGCTCTGCAATGGGAGCCGCTCCCCACTCAGTTATATTTATTGAGCGATGGCGCACAAATTACAAGACGGCTAATGTTCTTAAAACACTCAATAGCTTTGCAGGTGATTTTCATCTTTGCGGACCTTTACCGTATAGTTTTCAGTTCACAAAAGCAGTCTGAGATTTCCTATGAAAGTAGAATGCTGTAATACATGTGGGGCTCTGCAATGGGAGCCGCTCCCCACTCAGTTTCCTTTACAGCTCTTCATTGGCTGGGTAATGTCCTTCATCTTAATATTTGCTGACAAGTTAGTTTAATATACTGTATAGTGTGTGTGTTGTACATCATAGTTTTCATAATCATCCTCTACTATTATTTATTATATATTTTTTAAAACTTTGCTTTGTGTTGTTCCACATCTTAGGTTTTTCAACTGCCTCGGTCATACTAGTGGAGGTAAATCCTAATCAATTAGAGTTGACATGCTTATTTTTTTTTTTGATGTGTCATAATAGTTGTATTTTGTAGAGTAAAAAACTGAAAGAAAGCGTTTAGGAACACTTTCCCCACTGTTGTGATAAAGCAAAAAAACAGGTTGTATGTATGTTTTAGTTCATGTCAGTTCTGCCTTTTTGTTCTTGTACAAGTCAATGAGAATGCAAAAACTGTTTGATGCAGCTCTATCAAATGCTAGCTGAATTCATACGAAATAATTTTGTTCTTTTCTACACAAGCCCTTATGTTAAAAAAAATAGGGCTATTATTTTGAGTGCACTTGACTAACCCATAGCAAGCCTAAATTGATCTTGTACTAGTCTGATGTCAAGTTCAATTCCAATTGGCTGCTATTGGTTACTGAAGCCGTATTAAGCCAAAACCAAAATTTTAATATAAGGTTACCATTTTGTAATCTTATCATTTGTAAAGTTGGATACTTGATTGACTGCAGGATATATTGATTGTTTTATTCTTGCACCATAATTGATAGTTGGGCGCAATAGTGTGTTGTTGTTTTTTTTTTTTTTTTTTTGTTTTCTCAAAAAGTTTATATATTGCAGCTTACCAGGCATTAGATTTGATGGCTACATCAGTTTTCTTTTTTTAGGCTTTTTTCCCTTGTGATCTGACCAGTAACATACCTCCAGTATTAGAGTGCTCCCACACTGAAGGAAGGCGCACAGGAGGCTCTTTTGGGCAGTAGCATGGTCAGTTTTGGTGGGGGTGCGGAGGGGAGTGTTAGATGTACTAGCAGATTTACATACGCTAACAAATTGGAGCCAAATTCTAGCTAATAATTTAAGCCCTTAGAGCAAACAGTTTTTTTTTCCTTTTGGGATAAAGATTTTACATGAATAAAAACTGATCATTGTAACCACCCCTGCCTGTGTGAAATGGTTTGTCTCATCTCGGTAACGGATGCATTCTGCTAGAGAGCTTGTTATTTTGAAAAACAGACCCACTGTCTGGATCACCAGTTGAAAATAAAAAAGAACAAGCCTAAAAAAGAAAATGAATGCAACATTCACTTCTAAGAAATGGTAAGCTGCAATATAATGTATGCTTTTGGGTTTAATACCACTTTGAAGAGAAAAAAAAATATTTCCTGGATAAAGCCAGATCTGTATGAAACGAACTTCATGCTGCCATTATATTTTATGTGCTTATCAGCTATCAATGGGAATCATTTACTGATTCAACAGTGAGCATATGTATTGAGGGCTGTTAAATGTTTTTTTTTTTTTTTTTGTTTTTTTTTTTCTTACCAGTTTATATAACGTTTGCCCTTTATTCTTACTTGCAGTATGTTGCCAGTGCTCTGTGCTGCCCAAGCAGAGCCAGCATTCTGACTGGAAAATACCCACATAACCACCATGTTATGAACAACACAATAGAAGGAAACTGCAGCAGCAAAGCCTGGCAAAAGACCCAGGAGCCAAACACCTTTCCAGCTCTTCTTCATTCAATTGGCTACCAGACATTCTTTGCAGGAAAATACCTAAATCAGGTACACTGTTTTTATTTTACACCTTTTATTTCAAAAATTCTGCCCACTGCTAGATTGATTCTTTGTGACATTCTACAGTTACATCCACTAAGCATCTGTGTTTATGGACACATTCAAGGAAATAAGAAACTTTATAAGTTCTCTTAAGTCTTACATTTAGGTAAAAGTTTGTTAATGAAAATTCATTTTTTTTATCAGTCTTTTTAGCTAACTGGTGAAAGGGAAAATTTAAAGAACTAATAATTGAATGTCAGTACCATTTCTAGCATATTGTAGGTGCACCAGTAATATACCCAAAATATTGTTGACCACCAGTGTAAGGTGGCACACTGACCACCAATATAGTTGGGTCCACTGAGAAATGACTGCCAATATGAAGGAGTACACTGAGCACCTGTGTAAAGGAGTGCACAAAGTACAGGATGCATTGGCCACTTGTGGAAGTAGTGACCCTGACCATCAGTGTATGGGGGCATGTTGAATGAAGGTAGCACACTGACCCCAAACATAAGGGGACACTTACTCCTAACCACTGTACTCTGCAACTTGTTATACTTACCTGCACTGTGCAATGATTTTGCACAGAGCAACCTTGATCCTCCTCTTCTGGGGTCCCCCGCTGGTGATCTTGGATCCTCTTTTCTGTGTGCTACCATACGAAGCTGCTTGTTATGGTGGCACACATGTGGGTTCCCACCCGAACACCGCTGTCTGTCTATTGACCCACCCTCATTCCCTTGTCACTGGATTTGATTGACAGGAGAAGTAGCCAATGGCTCCCACTCCTATCAATCTGCCCAGTGAGGAGGGACAGAGCTGGGAGAGCCTCTGCTCTCATGGACTTTGCCAGATCAAGATCAAGCGCAGCTAAGTATGAAGGGGGCTGGGGGTGGGATCCTCTGCAACAGAAGTTGTTTTACCTTAAGGCATGGAATGTCTTAAAGTTTAAAAAAAAAAAAAAAAAAAAAAAAAATGAAGGCTTTAGAACCACTTTGAGTATAAGCACTAGTTTCACAAAGGTTGCGTAACACTGTGCTAGATAACTAATGTTAGTACAGTGCAAGAAGGGCCTATGACTGCAGGGTGCATGTGTAGCAATATGTGTACAATATATTGATTTTTTTTTTTTTCTTTCATTCTGTAATTCTTTGTTTCTCTATGTAGTACGGCGCAGAGGATGCTGGTGGAATAAGCCATGTGCCTCCTGGCTGGAGTTTCTGGTTCGGTTTGGTAAGTTTTACATTTGTAACAAGCAGATGAGCTGGCTGAATGCACTTTGGTGTTTGTTCTCATTGTGTGCAGGCTCAAGAAGTACATAGTGTGAATTCCATTGGTTGTTGAGTGCTTGCCTGTAATTTGGTGCATGAGCTTCTGTAGCACATTTTGGAGGGGGGGGGGGTGCATTCAAATAAATGCTGCTGCTCCAGAAATGTGCTAAAAAAGCAATGATTCTTGAATTTGAAAATAATACAGTTCATGTCTCTTGTCTAGGAGAAGAATTCAAAGTACTATAATTATACCCTTTCACAGAATGGCCATGCTAGGAGTTATGGACAAAACTACAGTGTGGATTACCTAACTGATGTCTTGGTGAGAAACCGTTTTATATAAAGGTTTTGTTAATGCTCAGTCAAACAGAGAGCCATCAATATGGCAGTTACATTCAATATGAAATGGTTGTGAGGATAAATGGCACATAATCCGATATACGCAGCTATTCAGTATGAAAATCATCAGTACAGGCTAAAGCATAAGTGTTGAGAAAAGAAATAAGGCTGGTGGTTGCATATCCAATAAAACTACCTTTAAGTTTTTACCAGATACAATCCACATACAGTAGAGAAACCAAAAGACTGGCTAATGCGTTGCACACCTTTGGGCTGGACCAACACATTTGAGTCATGGTGCCTACTTGTGAGCACCCTCTAACAGTTCGGTGAGCGGGCAGGAATGAAATGTGCCAGCTTAGCTGGCGTATAATATCTGTATGAGACCTCTATAAGAACTTTCCAATATAAGTACATTTTTAAAGCTCTTGGATATCACAATTGATCTGATTGCCAGTCCTCTGGGTCTAGCCGATTCCCTGATTTACTTTCCCATTTGAAGATTGTATGGTCTCAGTGAAGGTTTTTCAAAAGGTATTATTGAGGTATAGATCAATGAAATAAGGTGAGAGGAGTGAGGTCATGCCCTACAAAGACACTCAAATGGAGTTGGTGTATAGGAAGTAGGCTGGGATCTGAAGAGTTGGGATTTAAAGTGCTAAAGTTGAAGACACCTGTAATGCTCCCGTAGCAGAATGTTGTGAGGATCTAAGGGCATCGAATGTTGGAGGCTTAGTAGGGGTGAGAAGAGAATGTATGTAATGAAACCCATTGTCTGTCCATCAAGAGAGCTGTCTTGGGTTATCAAGTCCCAGAGGAAACAATGGGCACCGGAAGATATGCAACAGCGGAAGATGAGGCGAGGTCAAACCTTCTGAAAATCTGACCCCCACATTCGGAGTGTGTGCATTAAGATAGGGTTAAGCATTGTGGGGTGTGGGCAAAGAAGATGGAGGTATGGGGTGGAAGTCCACAAGATCTATAGTGGCCTACATCGTCAAGAGGGTGGGCCTTATGTAAATGAGACAAAGGAGCAATAGTGGCCGCTAAATAGTAGGCCTGGTGGTTCAGAACCGAGAGATTTATGAGCGAACAGCACTGTTTTGATTCTAGGTCTGGAAGATCCCCAAATAAATTTCAATAGTTTGCTCTGGTGTATCCGGGGGGAATGGAACTGGCAGTGCAATTTCGGAAGGTATGCGGAACCAAACCTGCCGAACCAGGATAGTGGAAAATGGGTCTATGGGAACAGCTCAGTCAAGTTCTTGAATAGGGAGGAAAATTAGCCTGATGGAGTGCATTTGTAACATGGGGTAAGCCGAATACCTAGGTATTGTAAGGCGGTTGGCCTGTCAGGACAAGTCTGATCATTGGAGGAGAGTACGGTTCTCAGCATAGCTAGATAACTGACAATAGTGTGTTCTCTTGCCTAGTGTGGTCAGTTTTAATAGGAAAGCAGATGGACTGGCAGGAACACCAGGAATTTCACACAGAGGAAGCCATACAAAGAACTGGATTCTGTTTCATACAAGTACATGACACGGCAGGCACATATCTGGAATATCAACATTTCCCATTTCAGACGTGTTTCATCTGTCCCCCCCCCCCCCCCCCCCGTGTTTTTTTGTTTTTTTTTTTTTAATGGATCTAGGCGGAATGCAGTGTGTAAATGGATGTGCATCTGTTTACATCTGCACACCTCCAAATCCATTTAGATCAGCAAACAAACAAAAAAAAGTTTGCTTCTTTTCTGTTTTTGCGGACTTGAGCATGGCAAATCTTATGAACACAGGCACACACCCAGCTAAACAGATTGCATAGGTCAGTTTTTCTTCAATCACAAATGGAGGCTAAATCGTAAGGAACATAAATGTCACAGTAGTGACATCCATCCCATTTTGATCTGACTCGGCAGGGGATCTCAGGACAGCTGTTTGAAAGGGGCCTTTATAGCTTTTTCCCTAGGTGGAGATGCTTCAAAAATTAAAATTGAAGAACTGGTTGGGGGCCAATATATCTGGTAACTTTACATACATAGCCACTGCTGCTTCAACTCCTATTAGTACTAGGTTATCATTTGAACAGATACAGTAAGATAAAATTCACGATTCACTCTAAATTTACTGCTGCTTTTTGCACCAATGCGCAGTCTTTATGTCTGAAAAGTTCTGTTTTTATATGCTGAGATCTGGTAAAATCCCATACTTTAACACACCGTATAAACCGCAGTCTTGATTGAATAATGGATATTTGCATCAAAATCTGACATTGACATATTTGAGGACACGATCCATTTAATTCTCACACATCCTGTACTTTTTTTTTTTTTCCACTAACAGGCTAATTTTTCCTTGGATTTCTTTAATCATAAAGTAAATTACGAGCCCTTCTTTATGATGATAGCCACCCCAGCTCCACATTCTCCCTGGACAGCAGCTCCACAGTATGAAAACTCATTCCAGAATGTCAGTGCACCCCGCAGTGGCAGCTTCAATGTTCATGGCAAGGTACAGTATCCAGGGATAATCAGACAACATGGTAAACTGTCCAAGCTTTACACTCTTTGCACTATTTCTAGCAAACATGTTTGTACTGACAGGTTATGCAAGTAAAATTCACTGTACGGCATATATTTACACATTCTTTTCAAGCATTTCATAAATATTTCATGCTGTTCAAGGAGACCATTATCTGTTTTGTTAAAGCTTACCTTGTAACCATTTTCCAAATTTAATGAAACTATGGAAAGAACATAGTGTTAAAAGGTCATTTCACCAAAAGTGGTATTTTAGTTATTGGTAGAGCCTGCTGGGTTGAGTTAGACTCTGGCTTTTTTGTATATCTTGGATAACCAACAGTGAGATCTCCATGCCACTATTACCATCTTTTTTTTTTTTTTTTTTTTTTTCTGGTCTGCCTACTTTTGTGTGTTCCTCCACCTCTGCTGTTGCATTCCTAATGCATAAATCGCAAATCCAATAGGGGTTGAGGGACCCCCCCTCATAATGGCTACAACAGGTATTAAGATACAGGAACTAAAGATGTTTCACCTCCAGAGTCCCTGCAAAAGTTAAAAAAATTGTCAGGTACATAAAGAAGACACTGTCACTCCACCCATTCAAGGCAAGGTGAGTGACAGTGTCTGCAGACCTTTAATTTGGTAGCTTTAACTGTACAACTGTAACCTTCTTCTTTTCCCTTTTTTTTTTTTTCCTCCAATAATGCTGTGAATTTTGCAATAAATCAATGAGTGTATGATAGCTTTAGATATATTACGGTTTGATTTCTGGAAAGACGCTTTTCTCATTTTGTTATCCCTCATTTTATCTTTATCAGAACAAGCATTGGTTAATAAGACAAGCAAAAACACCTATGTCAAACACCTCCGTTCAGTTCCTAGACAATGCTTATCGCAAAAGGTAAGGCCGTTATTTGCAAACTGATTTGAATTTTTAATAGGGTCACAATTCATACATATTTCTTTAACGTCTTGCCCTCCAGAGGATTTACCCTCCTTCTTGACAAGACTTTTTTTTTTTTTTGTGATGCGGCGCTGCATTACTTTCACTGACAATTGTGTGGTCATGCAATACTGCACCCAAACTAAATTTGTCCTCTTCCCCCCCCCCCCCCCCCCCCCCCCCCCACAAATAGAGCTTTCTTTCAGTGGTATTTGATCTCCTCCTGGTTTTTTTTTTTTTTTTTTTTTGTGCTATAAACCGACAATTTAAAATAAAAAAGCAATATTTTCGACTTTTTGCTATGAAACCTATCCAGTAAAGTAAATTAAAACAAATTTCGGCATAAATTTAGGCCAAAATGTATTCTGCTACATGTCTTTGCTAAAAAAAAAATCCCAATATGTGTAATTGGTTTACGGGAAAGGTACTGCCATTTGTAGATGCTATACATGTACTGGAATTTTTTATTTTTAGTATTCTAGTAATGGTAGTGATCAGTGACTTATAGCGGGACTGTGGCAGGCATTCTGACACTGGGGGGGGGAACTAACTGTCGCTGACATCCCATTGATACTAATACAGTGATCAGTGCTAATAAAAAGTACTGACACTATACTAATGACACTGGGCAGGAAGGGGTTAACATCTGGGGAGATCAAAGGGTTAACTGTATGCTGTTTTACAAACTGTGCTGTGTGTGATTTACTATGTAAGCATGCTGCTTTGTATTGCTCTGCTATGCAGAGAAATACAAAGCAGTATTCTGGTGCTGACGGGATAGCTCTGTATTGTTTACATATAGACCTCTCCCCTGTCAGTGTTCATCAGCGATCGCTGGGTGCCGGCGGGGGAATCTCTAGCCAGGACCCAGTGATCAACAGCTGTAGCCACCAATGGGGCGCAGGTAGGGCAGCGCATGCGCACCCCCTACCCGAAAGTAGAAAATCACGTGCGTGTGTGTATATATACGTGCTTTTGCGCTGCCCTGTAACAGAAGTTCTGCTATAGGGCTGTCGGTAAGCAGTTAAAACCAAAAATTGTATTCAGATAAATAGGCAGACTGCTAATTGCCTTTAGCTATATATATATATATATATATATAGAATGCCTGATTTGCATACTTGTTCTGGTTCAGGAACTAAAAACACATTGAAGTCACTGGTTCATGTTATCTGACAGCCAGTGGAGAGAATGGGCATGGATGGGCCTATGTATTTCTTTCAGTTAAGGAACTGTCATTTCTGAGAATGCTTGGAGAAAGAGCTGATGTGAATTAGACTTCCTGCATGTGGTCACCATGGGGAAGCTGTCCCCAAAAGAAGGGTTGTACATTGACTACTAATAGTTTCTAAATACAGCGCCGCAGTGTCCACATTCTAATGCATTCTAATTTACGTCCGGACGCCTCTATATTGACACTGTTTTTTATTGTATGTCTATATATGTATGTTGTGGTTGAGTACAGAGCGTGAAGTTAATCTTGTACTGCAAAAATTTGCGGGGGCACGCAGCACGGCGATCGGTGGTGCGCTGTGTCCCTCAGACACAACGGATCACCGACCAACGGAAAGAGCCGAAGATGTCGGCTCCATCATGTGATCAGCTGTGTCCAATCACAACTGATCGCATGTAAATCGGGAAATACCGGTTAGTGGCGTTTCTCTTCTCACGAGCTGTCACGCTGACAGCTCGTGAGTAGTGGAGAGCCGGTAACTGGCATCCCTTAGAGGGGACATGTACACTGATCATCAGGGCACTGAGGATCAGTGTGCCCTGATGATCAGTGTAGCCCCAGCAGTGCCACCTGTCAGTGTCCATCAATGCCACCTGCCAGTGCCCATCAGTGCCACATATCAATGCCACATATCAGTGCCCATCTTAGCTGCCTGTCAGTGCCGCCTATTGGTGCCATATATGAGTGTTGCCTTTCAGTGCCACCTATCAGTGCCCATCACTGCAGCCTCATTAGCGCACATCAGTGAAAGAAAAATCACTTATCTACAAAATTTTATAACAAAAACTAAGAAACTTTTTTTTTTTTTTTTTTTTTCCACTTTTTCAGTTGTTTTTGGTTGGTTTAGCAAAAAATAAAAAACCCAGAGGTGATTAAATACCACCAAAAGAAAGCTCTATCTGTCTAAAAAAAAAAAAAAAAAAAAAAAGATAAACATTTCATATGGGTACAGTGTTGCATGGCCGCGCAATTGTCATTCAAAATGTGACAGCGCTGAAAGCTGAAAATTGGCCTGGGCAGGAAGGGGGTATAAGTGCTCTGTAGGCAAGTGGTTAATGGCACTGGAACCAGAAACCTGCAGAAACTGAAATATATGGGCTACTGTGGCTGACTCATTGTGAAAATGCTAGTTATCTGGCCTTTGTGGTTTTTTTTTTTTTTTTTTTTTTTTTATTGACCCATAAATGGCATGCAGAATTTACAGGCCAACTCTGGGAAACTGGGAATTTCTCCCTTGTGGTGCTGCACCTGAATTGCAAAGGTTAACTGCGTGTTTAGGTCTAGGAGGCATAGTAAAGCTTTATTTACTCGATCCTCCGTACTGCTATACCTGTCCCTACAGCATTCTCTCTCTCCATGCTCCAGTGGTCTAAGGCCCTAACAGCAAGGCTGATGCAAGGTCCATAGCCATGAATTGGACATAATGCTACCAAGGGAATGTCCACTTCTGAAGCATGGGGGATCACTGTCTGCCAGGGGAGTAGAGGATCAAGTAAGTAAATTTGCTTTTACTTTCCACTAGAGTTAACAAGCAGATGACCCTTGCAGTTCAGGTGCAACCCCAATACAAGTAGGAATTTGCAGGTTTCCTAGAGTTTGGCTTTTAAGTGTGTGTGAAATTCAAAAGCCTAATCTGCATGCTTGTTTCAAGTCCGTTATTGCTGCCCATGTAGTTCTCAGCACAGATTTCCTTTTAACCAAAATTGGTAATGGAAACTTTTGTATACTCACATATTTCTATTGTAACAGAACCGGACCCCGACTGCACTTGGGTATTTCTGTTAGACTACCGCTTCCCTGTCTGAACACCGACCACAGACACCACAACACCAGTCTTGAAGTAAAACCAGGAAATAGACTCCTTTATTTTAACACAGATACAAGATATATACACTCAAGGGGACAGTACCCCTCCCTGCATAATGACACAGGGCGGGGCAAACTACAATCAGCAACAAGAGACACACCAGCAGACAGTCCCATCAGGAGGGCTGCTGGAAACACCCCCCCCTCCCACCAAGCCAATACACAAACACATACATCCCATAATAATTTGCTCCCAAGCAAGACACACAATAGAACAATGGGATGCAACCCCATGGCATTAAACAATCCACAATCCCCTACCCCAATATTAGCACAGATCACCCTGTACCCCTAACAGGCACAGGGTGACTTACACATAAGAGGGATATGGGGAGCTGAGACAGGGGTCTCCCCAACTCTCCAAAGTGAGCTGTGTTCTATGGGCCCCCCACCCAAAGTGACTCCCGTCTCATCTATCTTCAAGGATTTCTTGCCATGACACCAGCTTTGTTTGTTGTACCTGCTGTTATTTGGAGTGTGCATTGCACATTATTGTCTTGGTTTTCTTTGCTTTGGAATTCGTAGTGTCATGGTGCCCTCTTCTTAATGCATTATGTTTTGTGGTGCAGGTGGCAAACTCTGCTATCTGTTGATGACATGGTGGAGAAACTTGTAAAGGAACTCCAGAATCGGGGTGAGCTGGATAATACTTTCATCTTCTTCACATCTGACAATGGATACCACACAGGTAAACCCATTTTCCTTCCATTCTTGCTGTGTGCAGCATTGACTTTTGGGTGTAGCGGAGCTACACCCAAAAGGGGAAGTTCTGCTTTAAGCATTTGTCCCCTGCTTCCCATTAAGGATTGGCACCTTGGGGGGAGCGGATACCCGAAATTGACAGGTACCCACTTCCTCTGCGATCGCCTAGGAGATCGGAAGCGGAAGTTGCTGACTTTTTTTTCTTTTTTTTTTTTCACGCTGGTACTCCGCTTTTTTAAGCATAATGGTACACCTTAAACTCCTAGGCCAGAAGCAGAAGTGTCTCACCTTTATTTAGCACTGGGGAGGAAATGTGAAGATCATCTTGCTCATGTGATTGACATTTACTCATGAATGTTGTTTATCATAGTTTGCACAATATAGATGGCCCGATGTTTATCTTCTTTCATCTACATAGAGTAAATGTTACTGTACTTGTATTTAATGGATGAAACAATATGGACCCTATCCACTTGACCTCCGTCCTATTTACCACTTGATTTCGGCCACTGGGGGGCACCTGCCTACTACCGGAAAGCCGCTTCTGCTGTCATTGGACACAGCAGAAAGTCCAACAGGTGCTGGCCAATAGATGAGCGCCGACACCTGTTGATCACGGAGGACACTAACATAACATAGCTCTGATGCTGTAACAGTCCTGCTTTGTTTACACAAACTGTTAAGTATTTAGAAAATAAAACCTGGAAGTTTTGTCTAGTATAAACCATACACAGTGCACACAAATACACTGGCTAGGCACACAACCCTTTGATTGCCCTAGATGTTTAACCCCTTCCTAGCCAGTATAATTAGTCAGTTCCATGCCGCCCTCAAGCAGAAATACTGCTACAGGGTGGCAAGGGTGCGTAAATATATATATATACATGCAGTTCTGGGTAGGGGGCGTGTGCCCTACTTGCACCGTCATCTGTGGCCTCAGCTTTTAATCACTGGGTTCTGGCTGGTGATTGCTGAGTATCTCCAGGGGAGAGACCTGTATGTAAACAATACAGATCTCTCCCCTGTCAGCTCCTGCACACTGCTTTGTATGGCTCTGCATAGCAGAGCCATACAAAGCAGTGTGCTTACAGTGGAAAGCACTCACACAGCATACTGTGAAACGGCACACAGTTAACCCTTTGATTGCCCCACATGTTAACCCTTTCCTGCCCAGTGCCATTAGTACAGTGTCAGTACTTTTTATTCGCACTGATCACTGTATTGGTGTCAGTGACACCAAGTCATTTCCTCCCAGTGTCCGAATGCCCGCCGCAGTCCCACTATAAATCGCTGATCGCTGCTATTGCTAGTTAAAAAAAAAAAAAATTCTAATATATATACAGCCATTTGTAAATGCTATAACTTTCACGTAAACCAAATAATTTACACGTATTGGGATTTTTTTTTTCTTAGCAAAGACTTGTAGCAGAATACATTTTGGCCTAAATTTATGACGAAATTTAGATTATTTTTTTTTTTTATTTTCTTTTTTTACTGGATATTTTTATAGCAAAAAGTCAAAAAATATTGTCTTTCAGAAACTTGTCAGTCTTTTTTCTGTTTATAGCGAAAAAAAAAATAACCACACAGGCAATCAAATAACACTGAAAAAAAGCTCTATTTACGGGGAAAAAAAGATGTAAATTTAATTTGGGTACAGCAGTGCATGACCGCGCAATTGTCCGTTAAAGTAACGCAGCGCCGTATTGCAAAAAAAAATGGCCTGGTCAGGAAGAGAGGTAAATCCTCTGGAGGGAAAGTGGTTAATACAATGACTGTATATTTTTAGCACTGATCACTGTATTAGTGTCAATGGTTCCCACAAAGTGTCAGTTAGTGTACAAATGTCCACCACAATATCATAGTCCCGCTATAAGTCACTGATCACTGCCATTACTAGTATTTAAATAAAAAAGAAAAAACTGTGTGTGTGTACTGCCATTTGTAGACGGTATAACTTTTTTGTGCAAATCAATGTACACTTATTGGGATTTTTTTTTTTAACAAAAATATGTAGCAGAATACATTTTGGCCTAAATTTCTGAAGAAATTTGATTTTTAATTTTTTTAGTTGGATATTTTTTATATCAAAGTAAAAAATGTGTTTTTGGGTTTGTTTTTTTTTTTTTGTTTTAAATCTTTTTCTTTTATAGTGCAAAAAATAAAAACCAAAGCTCTATTTTTGGAGAAAAAATGACACATTTTACTTATGTACAGCATTACATGACTGTGCAATTGTCAGTAAAAGTAATGCAGCACTGTATAGCAAAAAATGACCTGGACAGGAGGGGGAGGGGGTGTAAACCTTCCAGAGAGCAAGTGGTTAAGGTTGAAAGGTAAAAACTGTACAGACTTCCAAATTATTTACGAACACGCAATTAAAATTCTTTAGTATACAAGTATTCACCCCCTTTGTTCTGAAGCCCCCACATAAGCTCCATTGCTACAAGCTACATTTCAAAAATAAAAAAAAAATATATAGATAGAAAAGAGAGATGTATGACATTGACGTGTGCAAATTGTGTCACATGAACTCAACACAAATACACCGGTTTGTGGAAGAGCAGCCTTTATCAACCCTTTTAACATATAGGATCCCTTGATACAACTTTCCTGGCCTAGGGGGCACCTGCTATAAATTACGATATACACAGCTCAAAGTACATCAGAGTGATGGTCAGTGGGAAGAATGCTCCTTACACTTGTGGTCAGTAGGAAGAAGCCAGCCCTTACACATCGATAAGTAACCACTGCCAACAGTGATCTTTTTAGCTGAGAGGAAAATGTTGCTGATTGCTCAAGGAACCCCTAGGAATACTAGTTGAATAAGGCTGCTGTATAGTTTTTGGGGAAAATTTGTAAACGAGCAATGTTTGTAATCCAGTCTCTCCAAAACTTTGCTTTGTGAGCGTCACCAAATTGGAATACTTTGAAGGGCTGCCATTTCTAAATGGCAAAAATTCCGTTCCAAATATTCAATGCCAAAAAAAGAAATTATTCCAACGTTTAGGGGGTACAAAACCTTCCACCTATAGCAATGGGGGGGGGGGGGGGGGGAAGTAATTTTGAACTGAGTATTTGCATCTGGAGAAAGGTAAATACCCGAACTGTTGCCAGCTGTCGTATTCTTGATGAATTGTATAACAAAAAACATGTACGTTTGCATTACAGCATTCCCAGAAAGATTCAAGCTGTATCAAAGCAAATGAATGCCTTATATCTTATTAGGTTACTAAAATGTTGCCTATTGCCATTATTTTGACCACTGTGTATCATATTTTTATTGTATTACACCTGAAAAAAACCCTTTTCTCTGCACTGTCCATATTACAGGTCAGTTCTCATTGCCAATAGACAAAAGACAGCTGTATGAATTTGATATTAAAGTTCCACTACTTGTTCGTGGACCTGGCATCAAGCCTAACCAAATAAGCCAGGTAAATGGACAGAACTTACAAACTACTATCTTTTGATTTTATATAATGTTTGATTTTATGATCACTTAAATGCTGTTTTGTATGTCATCATGGGGAGATTTACTAAAACTAGAGCACTCAGAATCTGGTGCAGCGGTGCATAGTAGCCAATCAGCATCTTCATCTAAGTTTAGGCAATAAAACCTGGAAGTTGATTGGTTTCTCTGCAGAGCTGCAACAGATTTTGCACTCTCCAGTTTTAGTAAATATATAACCCTCAAGTGTCTAAATGTAACGTAATAAATATTGGTTGAGGCAGATAATGACGGGGAAGTTATTTGAGATAAACCAACAATCGTGCTTCTGCCTACTTTCTAGCTTCATGCAAAATGACAGAGTCTGGCTGCTGTGGACAGCACCTCTACTTTTCTTTAATTCATTTTCATACATGGAGCTCTATTGTGAAATGCTGCATTAGCAGAAACAAAATATATTAACTACTTGTCTACCAAGGTACATTTATAAGCATCATGGTAGAAAAGTGGTCAGGCTTACAGCTGCTGCTTCAATTGTGAGCTTAGTTTCCAACTTTAGGAGCTGGTGAAGAGCTTTCTGCTGAGATTGCCTCTAGAGCTGACCAGATCTCTCCTGCGACTTCTGTGTATTAGGTCACTTCCAGAAGGGTCACAGCTGTCATTCCTCAGCTAGTTTTAGCCAAGGATGCAGCTATTGCAGCACAATCTGTGATAGAACAGCTGCATTGGAGGGCAGGGAAGGCACTGGCGTCTAATAGATCCCCATTGTCTACATAGAGTACCTGTCACCTGCCCATGCTAGTACATAGGCAGCTTGTTAGCCCACATACAATAGCAATAAACCTCCCTGGCAGTAATCACGAGTGTGGCTTTGGGTTAATTTTCAGTACCAAAAGCGGCAACCCCGACCCACACTCGGGATTACACTGTAGTGTAACTTACCTTGCCCCTGCGTTCCCCCGATGTCCTCCTGCTGATGCGAGCGCCGCGATGCAGGGGGGGGGGGGGGGGGGGGCAGAACCGGCAGTAGATGCAAAAAAGTAAATGAAACATGACATATATACACAATACATTGTAATCTGTTAGAATTACAGTACTGTATCAAACCATTTCACCTCAGTTTTGTCCAGAGCCCTGCCTGCACTTTTACCATTCTTTCTGCCTAAAAAACTTGAATGTCCATGGCATCCAAAAAGCATCCGTTTAGGTCAAAAGTTGTTTTCGGTTTGATTACATTTATTGAATTTAAATTTTATTATTGTAATTATTTTTTATAATTTATTTATAATTTTGTGTTTCAAACCGTATCATACCCAGGATGTTTACTAGACTCTTGTTTGGACAGATTTAAGTGAGTTTTCCTTAGAATTACAGGCCTACAATATAAAACAAATTTCCATGCAAAATAATGTACCGCTTTGACATTCAAGAATATTGACATAATCAGACCGCCAGGGAGGTTGTTAAAAAAAAAAAAAACGGAAACCATCCTGTCACCTCTGCACGCACCCCATATAAAAAGCACACCATAGGGTGCGCATGTGTATGTAAACATCACATGTATGTTAGCTCTAAACTGATGACTTGTAAAAGGTTTTAAAGCAGCGCCTATGGAGATTTTTGAGTACCACAGTTTTTTTGCGATTCCGTGGGCATGCACAGCATTAAGACTTGATAGGCTTAGTATCTACTTACCTGATGCAACCTCAGTTTTTTATAGTCTACTAAAAATGGGTATAATATTGTTTGTTTACATTTAAAAATCATTGTAATGTATTTTTCCCTGAAAATGAGAGTTTGATAAATATAACTGTGCAAATATTGTACAACATAACAAATTGCAACGAACACCATCTCATTCTCCAGGGTCTCTGATTTAAGAAAAAAAAAAAAAATTGTGTGTGTGTTTTATATATTTTTTTATTTATTTATTTATTTTTTTTTAAGGTTCCCAGTAATTTGTAGCAAAATAATGCAAATGTTGTGTGGAAAAAATTGCCCTGGTAGAGAAGTAGTACTTCAATACAATTGGCTGTAAGTGTGAGCTTAGAGCATATCTGAACTCAAAAATAATTTACTTTAGTTCATATTTGCAATTCTTAAATGTGTTGGCTGCATAAGTTTTTTTTCTTTTGTAGACTACGTCAAGAACAAAGAGGAGTTATCAGTAATCACTTTAGTGTATTTGAGTTACAACTGCAGACTAAGGGTCACACCTTTGCAGTGTGCTGCAAATTTTAAGACGGCCCATTCATTTTGAATAAGTAGCCAGCACACCAAAAACTGGACCTGACCTGCTTTTCTCAATGCAGCTCACCACATCACATGGCTGTGCATTATGTGTTTCAACATAGGTCTATTGCCCCAACGCATTGCTGTCATTTCAAAAGAAGAGCACTGCAACACATTATCTTGTCCATAGTATGGTATTGCTCATTATCACATGCAGAAGGGAGAAGCCAGCCTTAAAGATTTTCTCAGATTCAGTATAGCTGGCATCATGGATTACTATTGGGGCGCTAATCTGAACATAATGTAACTATTACCATCCTCTTTCATGCATCAACATAATTGTATGTATTTGAAAATAAAACCTTCCAATGCTTTTTTTAGTATAAGCAATTATGAACATTTCCTGCCGTTTAGGAGGAAAACTTAGTTGGAAGCTTTACTGCAATTATATTTGCTTGGCCCCAGCCAGCTCTACTATGTGTGGGAGGTTGTTCCAGTGTTATTTCTCAATCCAAGTGCTTATTAAAGACAACTGAAGCTAAAAAAGATGTTAATCTGCACCCCATAAATACCTGTGTTTTGTTCTGTTCTCTTTTCAGGCACTTGTAGAGAACATTGATCTCGGTCCAACCATTCTGGATATTGCTGGCTATGACCTCAATAAGACCCAGATGGACGGGATGTCTTTTTTCCCAATTTTGGCAAGTATAGGCGCAGACTACAATTTAATATAATTGCAGAAATGTTACATGTTTTGTGTTTGACATTTTCTCTTGATGCCATTAAAATCATTAAGCCATTCCTTCCAAAATGTCTTTCAAACTTATTTTACAGTCTAAATATAGTTTAAATTAATAGAAGTACTCTACTTTTATTTTTACAGAGAAATGCTAATGTTACTTGGAGAACAGATATTTTGGTTGAATATCAAGGAGAAGGATCTAATCGTACTGATCCCTCTTGTCCAGCGCTAAGACCCGGTGTCTCAGTATGTATTGTTAATTTAAAAAAAAAAAATTAAAAAATGCTGGGTTTTTCATAATAGTTAATTTTATAATATGTATTGTATATGGCTGGCTGTCCTCCTAAAAGTAAGATCTGGGACTTGCTTGCTTGAAGGACTTAAGATTGAAACCTAAAGAAAGTAATACTTCCCAAAAGAAAATAAATGTGTATGATGTAATTTCACTTCTCAGCTGTTGAATATAGCTGGGTAAATTGATGCCATTCGCTGTACGTAACCAAGTATGATACCATAACATTGGGCCTATGTGGTTAGATAAACTGTTTAAGCCAGCTTGGCCTTGGACAGACAGATCATGAACCTATTACCTGTTGTCTTTTATTGTGGGTTTTTTTTTTCTCTTTGCTATAAACTTAAACATTGGTTTTATCATACCAGATCATATAACCATCTTTTGAACAGCTATTACTGGCATTAGCAATGGGTATATTACTATGTGAGGGAAGGGGCAGAACATTCTATACTGCAACTGTTCACATATTTCAGTAAGGCAAAAAGCCAAGTCAGGTGCAATCTTTTCCTGCCAGGTGTGGGTGGGCATACTTTGTATAGTCATCATTGAGCTGTTCATATATGCATCTGGAGATGACATTCAAGGCATTTTTGGCAATTTATATGTAGCAAATCTAATTATGAAGGACATATGAATCAGCTTCTCCCCCCTCATGTTTTCTTAGCAATGCTTTCCAGACTGTGTATGTGAAGATTCTTATAACAACACTTATGCTTGTGTGAGGACGATTTCAGCAGATCATAACCTACAGTACTGTGAATTTGATGACGCAGAGGTAAGTTCAGCTAAATACACATTTACCTGTGGTTTCATTGGTCATTGCATTAGGTTATGCCAAATTATTATAACAAATTTTAGTTCAGGTCAGCACTGTGGCAGCAGTTATATTTAAACAGTATCCAGTGGTTTGTATGTGTACCTGTGTAATTTTAGGCATTTCAGATAATACTTTCAAAGGAATAATTCAAATTTTTTTCCCTACTGAAATACAGGTCTTTGTGGAAGTCTATAACCTGACAGCAGACCCAAACCAGTTGACAAACCTTGGTAAAACTATAGAAAAGGAGATCCTTGAGAAAATGAACCACCGCCTGATGATGCTCCAGTCATGTAGTGGAGCTTCATGCCGAACTCCAGGAGTCTTTGATCCAAGGTAATACATGTCAGATCTGAGCTTTTAATCAGTTCTTCATTTTTTTTATTGTGTGTAACCATTTTGACGTGGTGGAAATGCCTTGTATACAGCTGGTTAAATACATCATCTTGTTAGATTAGAAAAAAAAGTGGCATCTCTTCAGAATAATTGTGTTGATCCTCTGAGTGATTCCTTTCTTTTTGTACAATAACTGTTCTGTAAAAGCACTTGCTGGACTCTTCAGTTAGCAGCATCTCATTACCTATAGAGCTTTGAAAGTCACTTTATTTGTAAAGCAGAGCCGCTTTACTGCGTATTTCCAAAACTGGAAATGTCAATTTTCTGAAAAGTTTGCTCAAAAGAGTGGATGATTTACAGCTACATCGCTCAGAACAGTGGGTTTCATATAGCCATATACACAATGTCTGTAAAGTCGCACAAATAAAAATAGAAAAAGGTGCATTAAGCTACAAGTAAATGAGATGGATTAAATTTTTTTTAAAAAAAAAGTATATACACCGCCATTTGTAAATGATATAACTTTCACGTAAACCAATTCATTTTGGCCTAAATTTTATGTAAGCGCTAGGCTTTTTATCTATGGAATACAGTTTTGTTTGTTTGTTTTTAAAGTTCTGCTAATGAGATTTCTCTTTCAGGTATCGGTTTGACCCAAGGATGATGTTTACGAATCAAGATCAGCAAGGCTACCTTTTGTCCCGAAAGTCTCTGAAACGGCGAAGCCTGCTTTAGGCTATTTCATTTCCTCACTTATCTCTGGTGACGTAATTGAGCTGCTCTCTGCCAGCCTTGAAGGCTTCAATGATTTGGCATATCCATGTCATTTTTGCGCAGGACCTAATCAAATGTCGTCTGGCGATTCTGAAATCTGTGTCAGTGAATTACTAAGATGGTATCTCGTCACAGTTGGGCTTCATCGGGCTGACATTCTCACTGCTGTGATTGGTTGGTTAGACATATTAGAAAATTAAAACTCAGTAAAGGGAACGGTTACCATTTTATTCTTCTATCATAGCCAGTCCCCAAAACATTGAAGCCCTCTTTGATAATGAACTAATTATCAATGCTAAACTCTATTGCTGTACTAATGCATCTCAAGTAAATTATTTTTTTAATGAGATGAGACTATTTTTGTTAATAATAAAATACTGTAATTCTGCAGTTGTTTTACAACCAGTAAGAACTTGTTAGTACCCGTTAGCCATAGTTAGTTCTGAAGTTGCTTCACTTTTTGGCAGTTTTGTTATTAATCTTAATAAATCTAAGATAAGTAAATAAGGAACATCCATCTAATTTACAAAACACCCCTTTTCCAAAGAATGAAATGTCACTGAATTGTCAGTGACCGAAATATAGCCCCCGGAAAGAGATAATGTCTTATTTTAAAAGACTTAAGCTCCGTCTTCAAGTGTGATGCCTGAGCCTTTAAAAGAGGTACAAATCCAAATATACTGGATTATATTCAGCGCCCTTTAAAATGTTTGGTGTTGTCACAATTTCAAACCTTTCTTCAGTTACCACTAGCAATGCATGTTTTCACAGAAAGTTATAATAATGTGAATCTTTTGAAATGTCACATCTGGGATCATTCCTAGAAATCTATAAAACATAACCTGTTGGTGGTAATGAAATAAACTTTTGGGAAACATTAAAGTATGCTATAGTGTGATAATATCCTCATAATGCAGACTTTGGCTATTTGCCTATGTGTGATGGTGCTTCTGAATAATCTGTTTGGAGCCTAGCCTAGTATTATTATTATTATATATGCATTTTTCTATACAAGCTGAAAATGCAAAGCTGAATCGACAATTTTTTAAACAATGTCCAAGGTGGTACAGACCTCTAAAGCCAGTATTTTTTTCTAAAGCCATCCCATAATTACATACGCCTACATTTGTGTGCATGTGTCATGTACTTCCCAGCATCCTAATCTTTGCACTTTGTAAATTGACGATGCAATATTTATCATGATTCATTGTTCTATTTACTACCAGCATATGATTTGAGTAAGGGAATATAAGTTTCATTTCAAAAGGACGAAATGTTAGTTTTTATAGAATTAATTTAAAAATTTTTCAGTCTACTCAAAATACACAAACTGAGGTTTAGCATGTCATTTCTACTCTTCTCAAAACCATAACCAATATTCATGATGGCCCCATTATGCCTTGCATCAATTTGCCCACCAAATGATCCTTCTGAAACTTAGAGTAAGTGGTCTGTCAGCAGTCTTGCCTCTATGTACATATTTTATTGTTCAGCTTGTCCCATGGGTTTTTAAACTGAAAATGTATAGGCAACATGACTGTCCCAAATGTTTATTGAATTTCAGAACCGCTGAAACTTTCTGAATGGCACATGATTTTTATTGAAGTTAGCCAGCATCTTCTCCGTGTTGCTTGGCTTGGTAAATGGAAATGGTCCAGTCACCAAGCTAACTGATATCTGTTTAGCACCAAAAACATTTTGTGAATTATATCTTCCCTCATTCATACTTTTTTTTTTTTTTTTTAATGCATGGTTTGTGTGTGTGATTTATTAGAAGTGTTTATTACCTTCAGAAAAAAAAGTGTGATAATTCATTACATTTTTTTTTTTTTTTTTTTTTTCTCTTCCCATCCTGCTTACGAAGGGCAAATTGGGAAAATGAATTGCATTATTATAGATAGAATTTGACAATTTTACTAGATTTTAAAGCCTGGTGGTAGTGGTTTGATTATTTATGGTGCCTGATTAATTTCTAATGAAATTAGGTATTCTATTTGGATGCACAACCCAATTCTCTTGCTGCATGATCCTCTTTTCTGCTCCCTCTGAAATTATGGCCGGGGTTCTGATGGGACCAGAAAACCCTCAGCCATGACTTTATCCTTTCAAAATTGTCCAAATTTATATTTAATATTTCACACCTTCAACCCCAAAGTGGGAACAAACCTTAGTCTGTGGACCACTTCAGAATGTTTCAGCTCTGCTTTCATTTTATGTGAACTTGACAAAAAAATATGGTTTTCAGATTTAAATTGGAACCGGTTTTGCTTGGCTTTGTTTTTTTTATTATTTTTTTATTGATTAGGTAGTTGCAGCAACATTTTATGTGTGTGTGTGTATAAGTATCTAAGTATCTGTACGTACGTACGTACATACATATACATACATACATACATACATACATACACAATCACACACCCCTCACCACTATGATTATGCTTTTCTTTAACTGCAATCCAAGCAAGCGTGGGTCACACTAAACAATGAAGGGAGGTCCTCAGGGGCTGCTTATGATCCAGGTGTGACTAGGTTGCTAGGGAACTAATTGTTAACTCCACATTCAGAGGGTTCACAAAATTATAAGGTCACACCTGACTAGTAGGGGTACATGGTCATCTGAAGAAACCGCAACCATGATTTGCACTGGTAAATGTATAGCTGCTACATTTTTTTAGTTCTTTTTTTGATTTTATTATGATTTGCATTTATTATATTTGTGATCTGCAGATAATTGTAACTTGCTTTTGCCTTGTGAAAATTTTTGTTATCCTGTATAGAAAGTGCCCTTTAAATGACCCTTTTCACTGCTGCACTTTACAATAAAATGTTGAATCTCTCTATGCATTTAGTTTTCTTTCCTTGTTTAGCAGAAAAGGACTTAAAGTGTCACTAAACCCAGGACCCTGCATTCACTATATCCGGTCTCCCACCGTACACACAACATGGAAATGCAGTTATTTTAGTAAATATAAACTGCTAAATACCTTTTCTCATCAGCAGTTAGAGCAGTCTTGGGACTTCTATCAGTGTCCAGCAGAGCACTAGGTAAAGCTTGTAGGAGGAGTTTTATTTCTGCTCTAGGAGGATGTAAAACCCCTGACCCTCTTTCTGGACAGCGCTGATTGGCCCTGCGCTGATCACATGCACAGCGTGGTGTGGAAGCTCTCCGTCCTTTCCCACCGCCTCGGATACAGATACTGGAGAGCAGGGACCGTGGGGACCTACCAGAGTATGGTGGGTTACGTGCTGAAGCCGTGGTCCCGGGCACTATGAATAGGAAGTGAACTGTGCCGTCGGATTGAAGACAGGCTGGAGACTCGTCCTAGGGGAGAGAGAGCAGAGAGCAGGGTTGCCGAGGAAACGAGGAGGCTCGGCTTGACCACGTGTCAGCCGCAGAGAACTACTGGGTAGGGGAAATGCCGGCTGGTGTTTAGAGCTGAGAGGAGAGAGGAAGACGTCGGATTGCTCCCCTCCCAGTACATGAGACATTCTTATGGGAGAAGTATGCAGCAAGATGCCTCCCTCCCCCCCCTGAATGGAAGTGACTTTGTTACAGAGGAGTGAAAACAAGAGACCCGGAGGAAACCCCCCCCCCCCCCCTCCCTCCCTGAAGAGAGCTATGGAATGTGACAACCGAGGAACTTGTTAGAGCTGCAGCTGTGAAGGGTGAGTGAGAGCAGCCTGGATGGATTATTGTGATATATAAATGACTGTTTCTGTTGTCTAAAGGCAAAGGAGAAGTTGTGAAAGGGGGTTTCCCTGGGGGGTCTGACGGAGAGAGAGGAGGAGATTAAAAGCAGCCTGGAAGGAATATTAAGTAGAGAACTCGAAGAAAAAAAAAAAAAAAGGAGTCCCTGGTATATATTGTTATCAATCTTTGTGTTTCCCCTATTAAAGAAAAAAAAAAAAAAAAAAAAAGCGCATAGAAGAGATGAAAAATAAAAATGTTAAAAATAGTGGCCCAAAGGGGTCTCAAACTGGCACGATAAAAAAATATACATCTCAAGGAAATGTGACCCCAGATAGATCTCAAAGCGTTGGTGAAAAATGTGAAATGGAAATGAGTACAGAAGGTAGCCCTAGACTCTCTCTGGGAAAAGAATATAACAGTCAGCATCTTACAGAAAAATTGGAGAGCAGAGACACGAAAGTGAATTACAAATTCCAAACAAGAAAGAGATGGCAGATATGTTCAAGAACTTAGAAAAAACATTAAAACATGAAATGACAAGTATACAAAATGATTTGGGCCGGATGCTATCAAGGGTGGAGGAGACAGAGGAAAGAGTTAAAAGCCATGCTCAATATATTTCTGATCTGGAGAAAAGGACAATGGAAATTAAGAAAGATCAAAAAAAGCTGTTATATAGAATGGAAGTACAAGAAAACAGGGAAAGGAGAAACAACATTAGGGTGAGAGGAGTTCCGGAATTGGTAAAAGGAGAAGAAACAAGAGGCCTTATCTGTAAAATATTAAACTCCATTATGGAAAGATCAGAAACAGAAAAGATTAACCTGGAAGGTGTTTTCAGGATAGGAAAAAATCAACAAGGAAGTGGAAAAGAGAAACCAAGAGATATAATAGTCCAATTTCAGAAATGGGAGGATAAAGAAGAAGTATGGAGAAAGACCAAGGGAAGATCAAGTATTAATTATGGAGAAAAGAATATACAGATTTTTGCAGACTTAACACCAGAGACATTGTGGAGGAGAAGAACTTTAAAACCCCTGTTAGAACAGATGATAAAGCAAAAGGTGCACTATAGATGGGGTACGCCGGAGTGCCTAATTGGATGGAAGAATGGAGTTACAGCTCAATTGAGATTTCCTGAGGACTTAAGAAACTTCTGTGATAGACTTGAATTACAAAGGATGGAAGATCCCTGGTTGGGAGGTGGAAGAAGGGGGTTTGGGAGGTGGAGAGAGAGAGAGAGTGGCAGTTTGCTAGAAGAGGGAGGTAG